CTGAGAAAAGCTATGCAGCACATAAAATAAAATCCAGCATAAACTCTAAATCAAAAGATCAATACAATTTTGAATCTTTTTTAACTTAAACCATCAATAAAGAAACAGCTGTTTCTCATATGTTTTTTTTTGTGTGTGGATAAATTCAGGTATTTAATGAAGTAAAAACATAAACAGGGATGAATCAGCACATTCTCAGATATGTTGGCTGCAGCTTGTGGATTTGTGCTACATTTCAAGGATGCAATGCTGATAGTCTTAAAATAGCATATTTGGACAACCATTAAAAAAAGTTAGAAGGACAGACCTGAAAAATGCGTACAATTAAAGTAATTGATATTCTAGTGAAATTATTACTTTTTTATGATATTAATCATAAAGTGCTTATAATGTTATATAATAAAGACATTAAAAAAGCTGTGTAATAACAAAATTACAAGCAAAGAGTTACAGGATTATACTGTATCACAGGCAACAGCATGCATTTCATAGTGCAAAATGTGAATGTTTTAATGTTAACAAAAAGTTCTGTCTGAAAGGTGTATTGTTTCATTTTGGCCTCGCCAAAGCTGGGCTCTTACATATAGTTTACGACACAATTGATGAACAAGTCTTTTTTATTTTCATTTTAGGTCGGTAAAAAGCTTAAATTAACAGTAAACTGTAAATTTAAGTGATTTGACCAAAATTGTTGGGAAATTGTTGCTGTAATCTCTTAATCTTTTATAAACAATGTACTGTAAGTTTGTATGATGTTGATGTTGATGCTGCTCACATTGATCCTTAGTCCACTCAGGGGGCTTGTGTGTATGCATAGACACATGAAAAATTAGATTGAACATTTCCCACAAGTATTAAACTCCAGATCATAAAATATGAATACACAATTTGATATTAGGTAGTTCCAACCCTCTGTTAGAGGTCTATGTATTCTTAAAAACTTGCTTAAGGTTGTAGAGTAAGTCACTGATGCACATGTGGGTGCTGATGTACTTACAAATAAAACTGCTTGTGGTTTTTAAACAGAAGGCATATTTTACACAAAAATTAGAATGCAGAATTTCCATTTAATACAAATACAAATTCCATTTTTTTTTTTTTTTTTTTGAGGCATCGTTTGTGGACAATTGAAGGTTCTTCATGTGGAAGCTGTAACAAAAGGCAGTAACATGTTTTTAGAATGGGCATAAAATGCTGCCTTTTCCTTCAGTCTAAGCAGCCCAAGTGAAGAAAAAAACCTTATTGTTACTCATTGTATGTATAGATGTGCACGAAATGTCACATTTTAATTACCATTTCATGGGTCAATACTGCTAAAACAGATATGACTGAGACTTTTTTTAATTATTATTTGAACTATGTCTGTAAATATGTTATATGATTGTGTGGAGCTTCATTTATTTGGATCTTAAAGTGCTGTATCATTTGTCTCTATTTGCTTTCTCTCTTTTTTATTTTTTGAACAGTATCTATAAAGTAGAGATTATGGAGATTAGGATTTCCACGCACTAAATTTAGATTCCCTATGGGATCTAACGTACAGCCTTTGGTTTAAAATTGTGACCCTTTTTATGAAAACAATTAACTGAAGAGAGACACCTGATTACTGATGTCATTGTTCTTATAGAAGAAACTGAAAATGCAGAAATATTTGAATGCAGTGCTCTGTCAGACATCCTTTTTGTTTGTTTTTTGTTTTGTTTTTTTGTTTTTTTATGGACCTTTACAGTTTTATAAAACCAAGATAGTTTTTTTTCTGCTTGAGTGGGATTTAGATCTATTATTATTAACATTAAACATCTCCTTGTGATGCCTGTACTGTACATTCAGCTTGCCTGCTTGGCTCTTTATCATTCTACTGATAGCAGTGATGTGAGGAGGGTGCTTCTTCTCAACAACATTAACCCTGACCCAGATGATGACTGAATCAGTCATAAGATTAGCACATGAAACGGCAACCTGGAACTGGTGGACCAGTTAGACAGACCCAGAGAGATGAGATTACTCGATGACTACCAGCATGTCTATCGTGACCTATTTATCTTGTTCCATTGGTATCCACAGGAGACCTAAGGTGCTTAAATGATGGAAGATTAACCGCCATCCTTGGCCTAAACAACATCAGCTTGACCCCATATTCTGTGGCTTCAAAGGGATTATTGCTCAGTGATAGCTGAATCCTTTTGAATATAGGCGTTTATATACTGATGCAGCTTTAGTCCTCATATGTTGAACACTTCCAGTGATGCCTACATTGGTAATGCCATGCATCTAACAAAATAATTTTACCACAAGCCAAAAGTTGGAAAGCAAGATTAGATATTCAAAATTCCATTGCTTTATTGACATAATTGGCCAAACAAATAATGATTAAATAGTTAGTGTTGTTTGCAATGGAAACAATATTTAAATGAAAAATATGTAGGACACTTTCCCTCTAATAGATAGATGATGCATGAATCATTTGATTGAAATCATTTTGCTGAGATGCTTCGTGTTGCCGTCTATCAGTATAATCAATCAATCTAGCAATGGTTTGGTTTCCGTTATGAAATAGTTCAAATGTATGCGTTTTGGGTAATGTTGTAGGATTCCACTTCTGCTGAACTTGACATGTTTCTACAAAGTGTAGGTAGAATTTATAGTGGATTCTCTGATGCTGAGCTTGCCAAGTCTAGCTGGTGTCTGGTTTCCCTGATCCCTGGCACTGCCATCTCTATGATGCACATTTCCTATCAGGTTAATTGGTTTATGTCGAACATATCCGCTGTTCTGGTATTCACTCATTTTAATTTTAGACTCATTTGATAATGTGTGTCATGTTGACTGAGGCAGAGCTTTTTGAAGGTCCTATGTTTACCCTATTATGGTTTTGTTTTTGTTTTTTTGAAGACTTATTTAAATCCTTTTCAACATGCTTTATGGTGAACCAAGCTAAATTCAACAAAAAAAAAAGAAAACCATCAGTTGGAATGACATTTATTATTGCATTTTACAGAACGATTGTTAATTTATTTTTTTTTTTTCATTACTAATATACAAAATTCATTGGTCCATAAGCAAAACTGGCCTTTTTAGAGTTCGGAATAACTGTGTTAAAATTATTTAGTGGGACACTATGCTCTGTCTGAACTGAAGGAAGAACAGGTCTCAGAAATGCATTGAGAGTTATAGCTACATGCACAAAAATTCCCAGGTCCAGCACTGAAAAAAATTGTTTCATGTTTGCAGGGTAGGACATAAAACAATTGTGTTAAAGTAACTATATGTGATTAAGTAAATGTCAAAAGTGGTTGCATTATTTTTTTCAGCTTACCTCTGTTCAATGGAGGCTCAAAATCTCTGTGTACATGGACACCAAATAACATGATCCGATCATGTTGTTTGTGTATGTGTACAAAATATACACAGATTAAAAATTTTTAAGCATGCCCAGAACTGTCTAATTAAAACCGGCAGGCACATGCAGTGGAAATTATTTTACTCCAAATTTCCCAATGGGTGTGTGCATTTACACTTATAGTAGTGGCAATCGGCAAAAACCACCTTTCTCTTTCAGATTGAAATTTTCTCCCATCGAACCAAATGAAATAAGTATCTTCTGTGCGACATTTTGAACCTCATCTGTCCTTCACTCAATTATTTGTGTCCACATAGATATAGCTATGAACTGTTTAAATGCAGAATTTCACAATGAAATGTATTAAAAAACACAAAAAAGATCTGATTGTACTGTTTACATGGACATAAGTATCAACAGAAGCAGACTGAGAGAAAAATAAAGCTTTTCTTTGTAAGTATTCATTTTTTCTGTAAGTTATCAAGCTCTGATGATTTTTAGAATATAAAAGGCTGAACAGAATGTCGATTATTAATACAGAGACACTTTTTTCTTTTCTCATAGAAAGTTTATTGTTCAAGTACAAACTCTGCGTTTACAAGTGAAATGTTGCCTTTTCAGGTTGAGGAGGGAAAAGTGGTTTAGAAAATACACAATCAATTTCTGTGAGAAGCTCTTACCCAAAGAAGTAACTGTTATGTCAGATCAGTGGTGTATTGAGGACTTTAATGATGTCATCTATGCTTTGCATTAAATAGCAATTATTTATACAAAGATATGTTAGCATTTAAATGTTTAAAGAATCATGTAACTTTAACTGTTTGTGGTTTTCATGGTTTGTTGAATCAGTTGTTTTTCCTTTTCTAGCAAAATGTTTTAATCACTTCCATCTGGGACAGAGAAAGTTCTTTTGTCTGACACTTATATCAATACTGAAATAAACATTACAGTGCACAAAATAATACTCTAACCCAGCCATCCCCAAATTCGGTCCTCATGGCCCCCTGTCATGCAGGTTTTAGAGGTTTCCCTGCTCCAGCACAGCTGATTTTAATTGAAAGCTGAACCTCTGAAACCTGCAGGACAGGGCGCCTTAAGGACCGAGTTTGGGGATGCCTGCTCTAACCTGTTGACCCGGTCTTTGTCTTTTTTTTTGTAACACTTCACAAAACCAAGGAAACTGCTTTAGATCCTCTGCCAATAACAAAGCTTTTGGTTGTGGAAATAATGGTGTGTGGGGAGGTTGCAGGAAATGTTTAAAAATGCAATTTAATCAGGTTATGTTTCTCTGATTAGATTGATTTGAAACATAAGTGTGACAAAAAATAAAAGAAATACATAAAAAGTCTATTATAAAGTCTCTCAGGTCAATCAGATGCACAACATAGTAAGAGGTTAACCAAATGTTTGACCCTGAAGAAAAGAGAAGAAAAATAAACGTGCTATTATCTCTTTAAGCCCACTATCTTCTTCTGTATTAAAAACTTCATTATTTGGAGGTTTTATTGTTCAGTACCTGCTCAAAGTTTTGCATTCAAAAGCTCTGTTTTTCGTTCTCAAAACATAAAAAAAAAAATGAAATATAGGATCTCAACTGTCACCCTTATTTTTTTAATGGCTATGTGGCTCTTATTAGTTTCATATTTATTGTGTGTTACAGGTGTCCAGAAGGCCCTCGCCCGAGCACAATGCGGCCATGTCAGCTTCCCTGCAAGAAGGACTGTATTGTGACCCCTTTCAGTGACTGGACAGGATGTCCTGTCAACTGTGATACAGGTATACTGACATATAATTAATGTATAGCTGGTCCCATCCAACTCTTCCTCACATAAAATATATATATAATTTTCTTTGCAGCCTTGGACCTGAGCCTCAGGCCTTTGCTTCCTCACTCACTTCTTGTTAACATAATTAATTTGACAGATTGGCACAACAGACAACCTTTGGGCTGACCTCTTTTAGTATGTCTAGCAAATCAGCTTGCCACAGGCAACATGTTTCAGAGAGTATATAGTGTTATTGTGTTCATGTGATGAGAGAGAAACCTTTTCAGCTGAGGTCTCTGGTCAGACTTTCACTGTTCTGGCTGTTAAGAAGTTGTGAGCTTGCAGCTTCAGATCATCCATGCGTGTTTGTTGATAATGGCTCTGTATAACAACCGTCATGCAAATGTTCACTATGTAAAAAAGAAAAGATTTACATTTTAATTGTAATCTGATAATGCAGAGAATGGTGCTCCACCCACTTAAGAGTTCATATGAAAGATTCAGGACTGTTCAAATGGTTGTTTGAATTATATTAGATAATTAATCTCTTTAAGTATAAATTCCATAGAGGTAAACATAGTCATTATCAAGGTCAAACTCTTTGTTTAATCTGTTATTACTGTTGACTTGAGTTTCAAATTAATTTACTATGTGAGATGTATGACAGTTGTCCAATTAGACTTAATTCTTTCCTGCATTCCATTTTCTATTGTTTCTTATTCTTAATTCAAGACTTTTCTCTGTCTTAACGTCGACAATTCTCTCTTCAGTTGGTGACCCTGCAAAGAGAAAGCAATCAAGGAGACGTCTTGTCATCCAGATGCCTTCTAATGGTGGGCAGGAGTGTCCGTTGGTGCTTCAGGAGGAAAGGGACTGTGAGGTTCCAAAAGTCTGTCCTGGTTTCAGGTAGTACAACTATATTTAATAAATCTTTAAAATTATATTATTATTTTACCTTTTAAAATATTACCTTTAAATTTTAAGTATGGATCGACTTTCTGGTTACTAATAGCAACAGATAGGCTGCATCTTAAAGGTTCGTTCAGGTCCAGCTGATTATGGCAATAATAGTATAAAGAATCAGTGTACAGGCTCTTTTCAGTTTTTTTTTATTCTTCTGTAATGTACAAAATGAAAAACTATATGAACATGTTGGAGCCAAAAAAGGCATAATTTGTGTCACTGCTAGAACTGTAGTGATTTACAATAACATTCATAACTCACCTGACTGTATTTTAAGGTGGAAAACTCACAAATGGAGGAAGTGTCAGCTGGTCCCATGGTTCCTCAGAAAAGAGACTCCTGGTGCCCAAGAAACATGTGGACCAGGACTTCAGACTCGAGGTAACTTAGATATGTTTTCCTCTTTTTTTCAATAATTTTTATTAATATATGTCTGTTTTTTCACTAATTCAGCCCAGGCTTAAGTTTTAGATTAAGGAAAGAGATAGTTTTTTATATGACAGGCAAAATTCAGGGTAAAGCTCTTATGAATATCACAAAACTCTCTTGAGATTTGGACTGAAACATTCTCACTTTTCAATGTGTTCCTCTTGAGGCTGGTTTCGCAGTCAAGAGTTGTTTCTCTGATTATATGTTTCCCCTACCTCAGGCTTGAGTCATGCAATTTTAATCATACGTCTCTTGTTGGAATTTAGGATAAGATTCTGCACCTTTCCTTCAGAGCACACCAGTCCATTCCCTATTTTATACACACTTCATGCATATGTGACAAGTACTTAAAAGCAGAAAGCAGATTTCTTACTGCTTTGCCGTAACAAAGAGTCCTGGGAGGCTTTCATAAAAATCCAATTTCAAGGGGTCACGCAGAATGATCAGTTCCACCTCCAATAGGAAGCTTTTATTACTTCTTATTTTGCTGTTTCTTCATCACTGGCTAACATTATTACCAGATAGAATCAATCTGTTTTTAATGTGCTTTAAGGTCTATTTCATATTCAGCACAGCGGTCAAATCCTTTATCTTCTCATTGATTTTATACCTTTTGTAAACTCATTTTGAGATATTCTGTTTTATTTCCTTCATTTTTGTTATCGACTTTGATCAAATAAGATGCTACTTCCTTACAACTCTTTTTCAGCAGGATGTATTTTGATATTTACCTTTAGAGACCCTCACCTGAAGGGAGAAAAAAAAACCCTGTGGTGGCTCCATTAAACACACAAAGCCACAGGCTCTTCTCTCCCTCAAGCCCACACAAACACGCAAACAATAAGACGTGACCTCACACACCAGTAGATAGAGGCTTTCCGAACCAATAGCAATACCCACGGGGGTTTGACAAAATGTGCAGTGAGATTGATTTCTCTATAAAGGTATAGCCCTGCAGAATGTCTGGATACAGGAAAATGAAATACTGTAGCAGCACTCCTAACACCCTTTATTGAGGGAACAAAGAGCAGGAGGATGCAGTTAAAAGCTAATTGACTGGTGGCGTTTTAAACCAATCGAAGCACCAACGCATTTGTGTCTGCTCCTGTCATAATTGTTTTTAAACCTCTCATGAGATCCAATCTGAATTTCACTCCTCAGGTTTATTTTTAATTCAGGTGTTTTTTAAATGAAAGGTATTGAGTCGTTTTTCATAAGCACACACATTTTACTGAGGCTTTATTGGAAAATGCGTGACATTATGGTTAAATCTCAGTGATATTCACTACTATATCTACTATATTTCAATTGAATTATTTAATGAACTTTTATTTTTTACCACAAACATTGTCTTAAATAATATTTTAATAGACAGCAATCAGTGTTAAAACCATAAATGATGATTAATGTTCATTGTTTTTATTTTTTCCCCTCATTCTCCTCTGATTGTCCCAGCTGTTTCCTGCCGCCAGCTGGACGGGACGCAGGCCGACATCAGCGAGTGTCTGAGGTCCGCCAAGGCCATGCCCGCCATCACTCAGCGTTGTCAGCTCCCCTGCCAGGATGACTGCCAGTTAACCAACTGGTCCAAGTTCTCGTCCTGCACAGCTGACTGTGTGGGGGTCCGCACCAGAAAGAGGGCATTGATAGGTGAGAACTGAGTGAGACGGCTCAAACAATGGGCTGTTGTTAACCCGTCTCAAAGAAGCTCATTTTCTCTGCAGATTAGTGTTGGTGAGGTACCTCTCAGAATATTTCAAGAGGAAAAAAGAAAAGCTAAAATTGTCCATCATTTTCAGCAGGGTCAGCCTTATGATCACAAGAATCTAATCACAGTCTTTGTCCATTTGCATTATGACATCACCGAAGCTTAATAGAAAAAGGCATTGAGTTTGGTCTAAACTTTTGTTGCCAGATAGGGTTTAAAGTTTTTACATTTTACAGAGCTTAAAGTGTTTTATCTCTAACACGTCAACATGATGTTAAGTCAGTAATTCAGATGCTTATTTTTTTTTTATTACATTCATACTTCATATGCTAGAAGGGAACTTCAAGACAAAGTAATGTTTGGTGGTAATTCATTATTCTTTCCTTGGAGCTTGGAATATATCAGTTTTATTTGGTTCTGTTATTCCATCTGATTTTTGAGGATATGGGTTTGAGCCACTTTCATCTGATGAAATGGAAAGGCCATTCTTAATACAGTGCGTAGCATGACTCTTAGAAGTAATGCTCCACATTCTAAGATCAGAAGTAACGCTCCGTCTGGACTGCATCAGGATACCTTTGAAAAATAGAAATCTTTGTAGAATGGTCTCACCTTTACCTCTGAACCAATGTTTTATAGATTATGGAACCACCTCGAAGCCATTTTATTTTCATCATTGTAGATTTATTTATTTTTTGTCAATCTTTAATGTTGTTCTGAGTAATACTTATATCCCTCTTGTCAATTGACCACTGTACCTAAGTCAGCTCTAGTACTAGATGGGTTGGGATAGCTCTGCTCATGAGTGCACAAGTAGATTTTGCACAGAGGCAGGACTCTTGAAGCTTCCCTCACCGCAACTGAACTGTTCATACATTAACTGATCCAGAAAGTTTTTATTTTTTTAGCTGTAATCTTCCCTTTTTATTTTAAATTCCTTACAGACCAACAGGAGAATTCAGTTTCTGCATCACTCACTGCCAGTCTGTTAATTCTGCAATGAAAGAAACAAGCTCTAAAAAAATTTAGGGTTAGGGTTATCATAACAAAGTTTATTTTGATACAAGTAAAGAATTTTGATCTACATAGCACATTGTAAGACATTAAATCATGAATTCATTGAATTGATAAATAGAAATAAGATTTTTCTACAAAAGCAGATTAAAAAAGATATAGCTGGCTTAAAAAACAAACTACATGTTCTACCAAGATCATGTCCAAAGCTTAAGTGTTCTAAAGTCTGTGGCCAAAGAAGAAAAGTGTCCAACTGTAGTTTTCATTTCAGCGTACTGGTTCTGAAAGACCTGTTGGGAATGTTTTCAAGCAGTGGTTTTCTTGTATTATCTGGTTCCTACATGCAGTGAGGTTTGCTGAATTAAAACCGGCAGGCGACAGATAAAATGTCCTTCTATTTGATGACAGAGGTCCCAGAATTGGTCCTTAAAGATGTACCATATGGTACAGGACGAGGGGGAGACTTGCTCTGTGGAGCAGCCACAAGGGTTAGAGTAGGAATAGAAGCTCTACAAAGTGGACCTTAGTTTTTGGAGCCAGATCTAATGTCAAAATGTATGAGAAGCTGAGGTCAGAGCTGGAATGAGTAGCACAGAACAATTTGGGAATGAGAACTGCCACTACCTGGCTGAAAGTGGTCAGCAGTGTTGTGCTGATCAGAGCAAACTTAAGCTATTCCTCAAAGCTTTTGTAGACACCTAATGATAAAAGGAAGCTTTAAGAGCCATAACTAACAAGAACAGGAGTTTGAATTATCCTCTTGGAAAAGCAGGTGGTTAACAGTATTGTTTAAATTAGGTACAACCTGATCAAGTGCAAGTGAGGTAATGGTTATTTATACACTGAAATTAAAGATATTTTGTGAAAACAATGCATGCAAAAAAAAGAAAATGGAAAAAGCGGAAGCTTTCAATATACCAACTAGCTCTGTTTAAGCAGCGTCTGCAAAGCCGCTACCTAAAAAGAGCGATAACTGGAAGTTATCAACGCAAATGTTAAAAGGGTGATTTATTTTAAGGTCTCTGGTTTTGAACAAAAACTTACAAACTTTGACATCATCTTTTAGGAAACGAGAACAGTATTATAAGTTTTAAGGGATTACCAAAGTAAAAATAAACAAAAAAAACACTGTTCAAATTATCCACTTATTAACTAGTTTTTCTTCTCTTCATGGTGAGCTATAGGTTTTGGAAGATCACTTATAAAAACACTGTCAAACAATAAAGTCCTGGATTTTCTACAAAATCTACATGCATAACTCATTAAACACTAAATATTAACTATTTGGTTTAATTTTAAAACAGAATTTTATATTAAATCTTCTTTTCAAACTCGATGCAATCATGTCACTGTTGAAGTGGGTGGCTAGGAAAAAGGATCATTATGTGGAACATAATGTATTCGTTTCTCCTGCTTGTCAGAGATGTTTCCAGACAATTACAGCACACTGCTGAAATGCAATTAAGAAAGAACATTGTTCTGGATGGGGACATAAACAAGACAAAACATGGAAATGATTTTCTAAAAAAAAACAAAACAGCAGGTAAAGATATTTCTGGTTTCCAAAAAGAAAATCATCTCCTCATTTGCATATGAAATTGCTGCTTAATGATAGACTGCTCGAGTGAAAAGACGGCTCTAAACGGGGGGATCTGATGAGAAGAATTAGATTGTTTAAGTTGATGTGCTTCTCCTAATGTTTTCACTGTTCCTGTGTCCGAGGATACGGACAGAGCCTAATCTCCCAGAAAAAATCGTAGTCTTTGATGATTCAGACTAGACTACAAAACAAGATGCACTAAGGATGTTGTATGTGCGAATCCTAATTTCAATGTATTTTTGTGTTTGTTTTATACATCTTCAACCCTCAGGGAGAAGCAAAAAGAAGGACAAGTGTAAAAACACACAAATGTACCCTCTAAGTGAGACGCAGTACTGTCCCTGCGATAAGTACAACGCCCAGCCAGTAGGGAGGTGGTCTGACTGCATCCTGCCAGAGGGAGGCAGGCCAGAGATCACTGGAGTGATGAAGGTCCAGGGAGACGTCAAGGAGTGTGGACAGGGTTACCGCTATCAGGCTATGGTGTGTTACGATCAAGACAATCGGCTGGTGGAGACCTCGCGCTGCAACAGTCACGGTGAGTTAAGTAGCTGAGTATTTAGTTTTTGCTGAATTGAAAAGTTACAAAGTACTTGGTTGGGAAAGATTTCTCTCAATCCAAAGTCCCAATCGAGGCCCTGAAAAGGACCCATTTAGGTCACATCTGGCAACTTCCCAAACTGTGTCCGTTTATGCTCAGAAATAGTTTTGGTTCAATAAGTCTGTCAGACATTTTCCCCTGACTCTGTCTGCAAGAGGGTAATAAGTAAAATCTCTGTGCCTGACACAAACCAGGCCAGAATATTGGGACATCAATCATAAAACCTTGCTCAGGGTCATATGTTTACTAGGCTCAGTACACTTTTTATCCAGCCAAATGTTTGAGGCTGAAAGCCCATGTGTAGCGCATAGGTCAAACAACAAAAAACATGCCTGACTAAAAGCAGAGAGACCTTTTCTATCAGTTCCCCAACTCCAGGTAGCTCCTATTATTGCTTATGTGGCCATTGAATCTCCCTTGGCAGTGGTCTCCAAACAGCATCCTTAGGGCTCATTGCATTAATATTGTTCACTGTTTATATGTTACCATAGTAAAACTCTTTTCTCACATTAGAATTGATTTTGTGCAATTAATTTGCCATCAAAGTTGAAATTTTCCACTTCCAAGTCATAGATTTCAACTAGAACACCCCAGAAAGTCTGTATTACACGTCAGAAAGTCTTACTCACATTAACAGTAGTTAAACTTTCCTACGCTGGTCATTTGCAGCAACTCTTTTTAAGTCAGGGGCTACTTGTGTTTAAAGGACAATATGTTTCAACAGTCTGTTAATATGCAAAAAATGTAAAAAAAAAAATAAAATAATTTATCATTGTTGTTGTAACCTTGACCTGGTGGCTAAGGAGAATATAAGGGTCTGCAAGCTAAAAATTGCAATGCATTTACTGCAGAGATTAGGGCCACTCAGCAATGCAGTAGAAACAGAATTATTTTACCTCTTTGCTGTTCTCTGCTTTCATTCAATATTTTTTCAACAGACTCCAAATATGGTAGATATTTTAAGTCATTTGTTAAAGTTTCTTCATGTTTTCCTGTTGTGTTGTTAAAAGCTTTATTCTGTAAACACGATAAATTGGGGGAAAAAACAATTATCACAGTTTTTCTTTGCTCACTGCAGGATATCATACAAATCTTAGTTTTCAAATCCATTGTTGTTTCAGTAAACTATACAGATACCTCATAATGACTGGAAGGTCTGAATCTTGTTCAATTGAAGCATTTTTATTCCTCTTATTTTTTCCCTTCCCGTAACCTTTTTTTTTTTTACTGTTTTTTCACTTTTGTTGTTCTTTATAGGATTCACTATTTATATCTTATAATGGCTAAAAACATAAACAGACTTGCTGTTTGCATACCCATAACCTAGTATGTGGTTCCTGAATTTCGGCCCTTGAGGCCTGGTGTTCCTGCATCTTTTAGATATCACTCTGCTTCAGCTCACCTGAGTCAAATAATCAGGTCATTAGCAGGACTCTGGAGAACTTGATCACATGCTGAGGAGGTAATTCAGCAATTTAATATGGTTGTGGAAGCAGAGATGCAACTAAAATGAGCAGGACACCGAACTTAAAGGGCCAGAATAGAGGAAGCCTTACCTAGGACATGAACCATTCTGTTATGATCTAAGAATTTCCTTATATATGTTTACGTTCAAGCTGTTATGCTAATTCTTTTAATGTTATTTGTAATTAATCATATTGACAGCTCAAGCACAGATGTACAAGTTTTTTTTTTTTAGCTTGCTATTGTTGCTGATGCATAGAGTTTTGGCGCAGCAGTTTTGCACAAGAACCTACCAGAAGCATCTGATGTTTTACTGCAAGCATGACATGTGTTGGTGGCATAAAGTGCATGTTTTTTTTTTCTTTAATGAGAGGAGTAAATAACAGCCTCAAAGGCTTTCTCAGAGGGAAAACGTGTTTCCAAGCTGTAAGACCCCCTCACACAGTTCCGCTTTCTTCTTTAGTGTCACTTACCATATGGTTCATGTATCTGTTTAACTGTGGCCAAGGACAGCAGATGATAGATGGTTGATAATTCCAATATTTTGTATTTAAAGTGTATTTCATTGGGTTCTGTGGAATGTGTAAAATTTAAAATGATAGTTTTTATAAAATGAATATTTAAGGTGACTTTAATATAAAGATTTGATAGTTCCAGACAAGGCAATTTATTCCAATGAATATTGAGAGTCAAGGACAAGAGCAATGCAGTAAAACTGTTGTAAATTACATCTGTGTCATTATTTGAGCATAAAAAAGAGCCGTGGCACACTGTGCTACTAATGAATGTTAATTCTGTATTTTAAAACAATACTCCGTTCATAATTTCAAGTCAAAGGGACACTGCAAAAATTCAAATCTAAGTGAGTCCATTTTTATTAGAATATGTGCAATTCTTTTTTCAATTGATACTTTGCAGGTGGAATAAGACGCTATGAAATTAAAATAAAAATAACAACTGCAGTCTCTTAATTAGAGTGCATAATATCTAATTATCTTATTTTAAGGGTACAAATACTATTCCCTTGGAAGATAATTTTATTTACCTACTAAATTAAAGATAAATACTCTTAAGAAATGATTGCGAAGTGTTTTGTTTTTGCAGTATAGTAAGAGCCATAGTGGAGGGTATAAAAAGCATCTTGGAGTTCCAATTTTAGAATCTACAGCCTCATTCCGACTAAAAATAGCGATTTAACGTCTGTTTTTCAAACATGTGTCGACCCACTAACTCATTCCCAATGGCAAAAAAAGCTGGGTCTAACTCACCGCTGGCTGTGTGGTCTCTGTCCCCCCACTGCTGCATATCTGGTGACACCATGGCGTAGGGTTAGAGTTGATGATGTCACCAATGCGACAGAAATCAGGGAAGTAAACAATGGAGCGCAAGAATGTAAGGAAGGCAGGGCGTAGTGAGTGTACTTTGTTTTGCACTTTTATCTGTCTGTCTCTTTATCTGTCACGTCAACCCAGGTCTGTTGTTCCTTCAGCATGCTGATCAGAGCCGAGGCGATTTTAACACGGGTCACTTTTTGAGTCGCTTGACCCGGGTGGACAGCGGGAAAGAGATTTATGGGTCTTTGTTCGCACATAAAACATTAAGGATATTCTTTCCTCTGACTAGTTGGGGTATTTATCTTAGTGCTTTAAAAAGTTATATGGTTTCTAATGTCTTTAAGGGGTATAAACAATTCAGACTTATAATCCAGAGGTGTAGTGTGACATTAATCAAATCTGATTTTACTCCTTTTATTCCTTAACTTCTTGGTTCAGAGTGTGAAATTTACTATAACAGGACCCAACATGGCTGGGTACTATTTCTATGTTCAAAATTCATCTGAAGAGCAACATATTTGTGGATTTAAAACTTCTTCTTCACAGCAGCAGGAGCTTATCTTAAATCCTGAATTTCATATTTGCAGGCCTTTTTCTGATCAAATTACTTGTGTTTTCCTTTTCAAGTCTTATCTTAGATCCTGAGGATTTCAACCAAAGACTTGTGCCTTCAAAACTCGTTGGAAAAATTACTGTGAAATAGAATGTGGGAGATGCTTAAATGAATACATCAGCGCTGTGCATATATAAACAGGGTTTTAGTCTCCTTGTGTGACTCACAGATTCAGATACTTAATCTGAGTGTGGGTGTGACAGGAGCTCATCTTCAGGATGAGGTTGCATCTGAGTGTTTTCTGTACATGTTTACACCTGTGTGATTTCTATTTAGTGTTTGCTTGTGTGGGTCCATGCGTTTATTTCAAGGAGTAATTAAGCAAATGACAAATGCTTATTGAGATGCTTACAATAACCAAGCAATGTTGAGCAAGTGTTGACTCATGTGAATTTCAAAGCAATCATTAAATCTCTTCTATTCCTTATTTGCACTGCTACTCTCCCCAGTTTTCTGATCTGCTCCCTCCATCTTAGCCATCATCACTTGAGATCTTGATAGAAGAAAATGAGAATGGTCCCTTGTAGACTCTGCAGCTGACACAATTCTCTTGGCTGTGATGTAGATGAGGCAAACCTTGCCCCTCTGATCTCTTCATCCCAACAGATAAAAAAGGAAAGTGTGTTAAATGTGCATGCTGAATCGAGATGTAGAATGACACTTTCAGCACAATATATATATTATTTATATTAAATTAAAAAAAACTGCATTAATCCTCAAGGGAAATTAAATGTTGAAGTTACTCATCTGCCTTTGTTCATCGAGTTATTGTAGATGTAGATAGCTGTAAGCAGGAAGGATCTTCTGTAGCGGTCTTTCTTGCACTGATCTGGACAAGCCTCTGACTGAAGACAAATGTTGATGTTCAACAGCCTTTTTGAGATGATATACAGTGTTGTCAGTGCAGTGCTGGCTGCACTGTCTAAATTAAAGTAGGTTTGTTGAAGAAGGTGTATGATGGCATCATTAACTCCACGGCGATAAGCAAACTGCAGGGGTTTTTTGATAGCTGCTTGTTTGTTTGTTGAGATAAACCAACAGAGGTTTCTAGGCTTTTCATGATGTGGGATGTCATGGCAACAAGTCTATAGTCATTGGGGACTGTTGGCTGAGTCTTCTTCTGAGTCTTCTGCATTACCTTCTCTTATAATTATACATAGCAACTATTTTATAGTTGCTACGTGTTTGATATCCTATAATCAAACTGAAACTTGATCCAAAAGAACATTTACTGGTCTATTTGTTTATCATTATTTTTCACAAAAATCACTTGTATTTGAACCCTTGCTTGAAGAATGTGTAAGCTCATCATTTGCCAAGAGTATTTCTGAGTTCCCCAGTGCTGAAGCATTCCAGAGGGGCTCAGATTTTCCCATTTTCATGGTTTTCCTCGTTCTCTCCTTTACTGGCTTCTATGGAGACGCTGAACACTTAGCATCACCTATCATAGAGACTTGATCCGTGCAGATGACAGCCGATGTTTAAAGCATCTTTCTAACAGCATTTTGCTACCTTGAAATGTTGTT